TTTTTTTTTAGAACTGGAGGTATATTTAGGTTTATGAGGAGGGCAAATTGATATTGAGAAATCAAGATATTGGAGGCTTTTGTGGTTGATCTTTACTACAAATAGCAAAAGCTATTTACAATGGGAATTATAAAACCCAGCTCCTTCCCAAGGTTAGGTTTCTTTTTGGGACTCCTTTCCACAGACTATTCTATATGCCGCCTTCAGTCCGATCTAAGTATAGTATATAAAATCATACATTGCAATGTCCTACCTGTCAATGAATACTTCAGCTTCAACCATAACAACACAAGAGCACACAATAGATACAAACTCAAAGTAAACCGCACCAAACTTGATTGCAGGAAATACGACTTCAGCAATAGAGTGGTCAATGTCTGGAATACTCTACCCGACTCTGTAGTTTCTTCCCCAAACCCCAAAAACTTTAACCTTAGACTGTCTACTATTGACCTCACCCCTTTCCTAAGAGGTCTGTAGGGGGCGTGCATAAGTGCACCAACGTGCTTACCATCCCTGTCCTATTGTTTCTCTTATTCTTCTTTTATTTTTCTTATATGTACCCATTTCATGTATTCACAACTATATATACACTTATACTTATTATCTTGTAAACAATTGGCAAATCAAATAAATAAATAAAATAAATAAATAAAAATAAAATATTTTTCTTGGAAATGGCAATTTCTACCTATCAAGAAATACAACGACAGGAAGACTGGGATGAAGGAGAAGAAGCCATCTTTAATGGACAAATGCACTTAGTGGAGGAAGAAAAGCGGAAGGGGGGCAAGGAAAAGATGAACTTAGAACTTAAAAAAGCAACCAAGAAAAAGAAAAATGAGATGAAAAAGCGATATGATGTCAGAAAGCAACAGAAAAGAGAAATACAACAGAGAGGGAAGATTAAGAGAGTGAATTTGGGGAGATGGGGGGTCAAAAAGTTAGAATGGAGAAGAAAGAAAGGGGGAAAGGAAACATTAATTCCTCGGGTGGGCTGGTACAGTAAGATTAAGAATAATGTCAGATGGTGCTCCATTCAAAATCCAAGAAAGAAATACTTAGACTCCATTAATTAGAGAAAATATATATTTTAGTGGAAGTCAAATGGTAGCAACAAAAGAATTTTGAATCTGAGAAAATGAGCGCGTAAATCACATATACAAAGTGATGGCAACATTCCCAACTCCAATAGTTCAATTGGCTCATCCAATTAAAAGTTGTGTATAGCATTATGTGGGCATCTCCAGGTGGTGATGAGGCCTCTGTCCATTGACCTTGACATATTTTGATAAAGAGTTGCAGCTGCACATAGCATAGGATAGAAACCTAAGCAAGAACCTTCCCCCCCAACTTGTACAGTTCTGTTTTGTAACACCTCCAGATTGCTTCTCATAACCATATCCCCCCTCCCCCCATTACTTTTGGCAGCCAAAAGATGCAAAGCAAAGGAAGAAAATCTTGAAGGATGACAGGAACATATACATCTATTAGGAGAAATAAGGAGAACTCACATGGAGAATAAAGTGTTTTGCACTTGATATGTAAAGACTCTAAGTTTTCATCATAGAACTTATATATTATAATTATATCCTGAGACCAGCTGTTGTTGATATATAAACATAATCTTCCACCCTTTGTTTTACCTGATGTCTCTTCAATTCTGTCTGATCTAAATGTCTGAAATCCTGGGATGTATATGGTGTTGTCCCCATGAATTTGTGGATTAAGCCAGGTTTCAGTAAAACAAAGAACAGTTGAATTGTAAAAATCAGAATTCCATCTATTTAAGAGATGAATTTCATCCATCTTGTTAGCAAGTGAGCGTAAATTAGTCAGAAAGATTGAAGGGAGAGGAGTTTTTTTCCCCCATTCCTTAGTCTGTTTAAAATTACCACTCATTTACCTCGTCTCCTTTTTCGGCATTGCCACTTCTTTGCTCTCATTGTTGTAATCCAAAGCACTGGGGAATTAGTTAGAATCTCCTCCGCGTTTGCAAAGACAGGTGGGGGTGATGAATCAGAAAGCTGCTCATTAAGGAAACATTGCCTAATTCTTAGCAGATGGTCTCGCGAGTATTAAATCTGTAGTGAATTGCAGATAATAATAAGGAATAAAGGAACCATTAGATAGCATTTCACTGAGGCAGCCATCATCAGCGCCATCTTGGTAACTTCTAAAACAGACAGAAAATATTAGAAACACCAATCAAGTAGAACACAGCCAACTCCAAGACCAATAAACACAGAGCAAAACTCCCAACCAATCAGGAGGAAGAAAAAAACATTCAAACAAAGCATGAGACTAGCATCAAATTTAAAACAGAAATGGCTATGAAACCCTGACACACACGACGAAGACAAACCCAATACACAAGCCTGATGATGGCAGATGAGATTCACTACAACTTTAAAAGCACAACTATAAAGATGTGGGAAAATACCCAAACAAAGCTGAATATATAGCTACTGCCTTGTAGGTCGCTTTGATGTGATGATATGAGGGAAGAATGCATATCCTGAAACTGGAAAGAAAGAACAAAACAGTCCTGAATGATGAAAGTAAATGATTAGGCTACATTCAAGGGATGTGATATAAATATCAGTTTTATTTTTTTATTAGTTGCTCCTTCTTATTCAAATCAGGTCTCAGAATAATGATATAGCACTTAGGAGAAAAGATGCAGCCCAGTAATCCAGCTGCTGAAGCCAAAATGGAGAAGATCTCAACAGCAACCACATATTTCCCCTTGGTACTCAAATAGGTTGGAACAAATGATACCCACACACTGCAAAAGACCAACATGCTGAAGGTGATGAATTTGGCTTCATTGAAACTGTCAGGTAAATTCCTAGCCAAAAAGGCCACAGTGAAGGTGACAGCGGTCAAGAGCCCCATAAAGCCAAGGACAGTATAAAACATTGCAGTTGAACCTTCATTACATTCCAGGACAATTTCTTCAACCATGGACTGCATGTCTGAATCTGGAAATGGGGGAGACATTGCCAACCACACTACACAGATGGTGAACTGAGCCATGAAGACAGATAGGACAATAATGTTGGCCATCCTTCTCCCCACCCATTTCCTCATTTTGGAGCCTGGCTTTGTGGCCATGAAAGCAAGAACTACTATGGTTGTTTTACCCAAAATACAAGAAAGAGCTATAGAGAAAGTGATACCAAACGTAGTTTGTTGCAAGAGACATTTCACTAAACCAGGTTGCCCAATGAAGAGCAGAGTGCAAAGGGAGGAGAGCAGGAGAGCAACGAGAAGAATGTAGGTGAGGTTCTTGTTGTTGGCTTTGACAATGGGAGTGTCCTGGTGTTTAATGAAGATTCCTAGTACCGCAGCTGAGACAACAGAAAAGGAGACTGCAATCATTACCAAAGAAATACCCAACGGCTCTTGGAAAGTCAAATAAGTTACAGTTTTTGGAAGACAATTATCTCGACCCTTGTTTGGATGTTGATCCTCTTGACATGGGAAACAATCATCTAAGTCTGGGGGAAAAGAACAAATAAGACTGTTTCACAGAACCATGATAGGTTTTAAGCACGAAAAAATAATAACATCCTACATTTTATAACTTTCTATGAGTTCATATTATTTTTCTCAAAATAATTTAAAATGAAATTCATTACATAATACAGTGTTGATTTTCTATATTCTTTTAGTTATACTGCTATCTCAAAAATTTTATATGACATTTTTACTCTACAGGTGGAATAGGAAGGAAAAACAGTTGAAACAGCAGGAAAAAAACAGCAGGGGAAAAAATGCAAATTGGAGAAATTTATTGAGCCTTATAAAATATTATGCTATTTAAATGAATTGGTTGATTGCAGCATTAAATATTTTCCAAAAGTTCTGTTTCAAAAAGCATCTGGACTTTCTTTGTTTTTCCTTGAAGACATTTTGCTTCTCATCCAAGAATCTTCTTCAGTTCTGAATGAAGCCAATCAGTCAGCCAATCAGTCAGAACTGAATAAGCTTCTTGGATGAGAAGTAAAATGTCTTCAAGGAAAAAAGAAAGTTCAACTGTTTTTTGAAAAAGCAACCTTGGGATAAGAAGCACTTTGGATGACTGAGAATCTCAACAGACATTATATCCAGACCTTCTTATTGAATGGGACATATTACTTGGAACCTTGATGCATTAAATAATCTCTTTGAATTATAAACAAGTAATTCACTGATCTATGCAACCTGTTAGATAACTCAAGATTTTCAGACACCATAATACTGATTAAAAATTCAACCTCATTTATATTTATTAAATTGTTCACATATTCAATATATTGCTTTGCTTACCCATTTGGTCAGCTATCTTCCCTTCTGGACACTGTCTACAGTCATAGCAGCAGGATAATTTTCCTTCTATTTTTACCTTGCTGTAGCCAAAAGGACATTTCTCATTACAGATGGAAAGAGGCAATGTCTGTTCATGAATAAAATCAGAATTATTTCACATGAAAAACTTACAGGTTGGAAGTGTTTATTTTATCTGGTATACATACCCTAACTTTTCACATCCTCATCAAAACTAAGTGTCCCATTACCCCATTTTATTTTGTTTTAAATTTTAAAAAGAGCATACTAGAAATATTGCATCCAAGGACTTCTGGTGATGTCACATTGTGGCGATGCAGGAGAAATTTGTTCTGCTCTCCTCCATCGGGTTTTTTGCCTTTAGACAGCCATTTGTGGTGGGGTTTGGTCCTGGAGGGACCAACAAAGTGAGGAGAGACTCTTGGAGTCAATTCAGGGAAGTTGTGATCCCGAATCATCAAAAAAGAGGGCCCAAATCCAAGGTGAAAGAAGTCGCTCTTTGTGAGCAGACCTGGAGGCACGACAAGACAGTAAAGAAGGAAGCAGCAAGAAGATAGTGAACTGAATTTTTTTTTAAACAATAAGTTAAGAGGGGGGGTTATAACTGGAATATTGGAATAGATATTTGCTTGTATTATGGAAGCCCAGAGTGAAAGGGGTGAAGGTGGAAATCGGTGGCAGCGATCTAGCTTCCCAACCCCAATGCTGGGAAAATAGTGAAAGTATTAGTTTAAGAGGAAATTTGGAAAAAAACTGGAATGAGAAGAGTTAAATGGATATTATTAGAAGGAATTATCCTTTGCTAACAGTTTGAATTGAGATTGTTAAGGCTATTTTAATTGAGAAAAGAGACTGGACAGAAACTTAAGGGAAACAACGAGGAGTGACTATGCAACTTTCAGAGGCTGCCATTGAGAGTGCTAAGTTCTGGTAAACTGTATAACTGTAACTAGAAGAGACCGAGAGAACTGTGGACAGGAATAAAACTGACACAAGACAAGTTGTAAGATTTGATTATTATATTTAATATTGTATATAATACCTGAATTTATCCACTTACTTATTATTAGACTATTTAGAGATTTCTTACCCATCTCCTCTTTAAGTTCTTGTGTCTTCTTTGAATTCACTGGAATCTGATAGTTCTACTTCATATAGATAAATTTTATTATAATAAAGGGTTATCAATTGAATATATTATATGGAAATTTGTTTGGAGAGTGATAATTAACTTTTTCACTTCGCCTTTTTTCTCTTCTCTGCTTTTCCTTTTTTCTTACTGATTTACTGTGGATTAATGAAGATATTATATTGCTTATTATAATGATAATTTAAATATTTTCTTCTTTCTTGTTGATTGTTAAGAGTTAAGAATTGATAATTTGTATTCTGAGAACTTTATATTTCGTTAAAAAGAGTAACAGTTATAACAAATTTAAATACTCATTCCCGGCTATAACATTAAGTGATACTTGATTATACTTATTAACATTTGTCAACATCTTAACTTATTGTTAATCTAAGAGTCAGATAATTGATAATTGATTTGCCTTTGAAAGATTGATTGACCTGTTGATTAATTGACAACAATTTTTCAAATTAGTAGTGATAGAGAATTAACCTAACTAATTAAATAACAAAAGAAACATTTTACTAATTAATAGGAAACATTTAAAATTTATTAACTACTTATAAAGTTGATGGTAATTTTGGATAATATAAATAGGATTGTAGATGAGCAATACAAAATTATCAAAGATATGACCAGTATTACCACTATGAAGAACAGGAAAAAACCTGTATCAACGGTGGCATTATCCAGTCCTGCAGTGTTGACTCAACGTATGATCAAAGGGATGTTGGTTCCTGAAAAATCTAGCATTACAACTAGCACTCAATCATTCCAAGCTTCTTTATTAGCAATTCAAGGAACAATGTTAATGTTACAAGAATCAATGTCAAAAAATCATATTGAAAGTAGAGCGGACAGGGAAACAATGAAAACTTAACTGAAAACTGAAATAGGGGAAATGAAAGCTGAAATTATGAACCTGGATGAGAAAATAGGTCTGATTCAGGAATCTATGAAAAGGAATGAAAAAAAGATTAGAACAATTGAACAACAATCTAACCAAACGGAGAAAAAAACTAGAACTTATGGACCAAAAAATTACTGACCATAACAAAGAGACAGAAGAGGCCTTAATTCACCTCAAGATGGTCAGAACCTCTTATTATCTTAGATTTCAGAATGTAGAGGAAGTCAAAGAGGAAAATTTAGCATTGGTGATGGCTGAGCTCTTAGCGGAACTTCTGCAAAGAGATAAGAATCAAATAATAAACAAAATAGATGACATTTACAGAATGTATACAAGCTACACAAGATGGCATAGACTTCCTTAGGAGGTCCACATTAGATTCGCTAGAAGGAAAGTCAAAGATATAATCTACAAGATTTCAAGGGAAGAAATAATAAAGTATAAAGATAGAGAAATAATTGTGCTGAAACAAATTCCAAGAAGAGTCCCGAAACAGAGGAAAGACTATCAGTTCCTCACCAACTATCTTAACAAAAAAAAAAAAAAAAATCCTTTAAATGGATCACTCCAGAAGGTATTTTGACAACATGGAAGGAGAAAAGAGTGAAAAGCGATAATTTAATTAAAGCACAAGACTTTTTTGAACAGATAGGTGGATTGGAAGAGGAAACCAGTAGTAAAGACAAACTTGAGACCTCAAGCCAAGAAGAAGTGCAACAATAAATTAAAGAGAAAGGAAAAGAGCAAGAGAAAGAAAGTAGGGGAGAAACAGCTGCTCGAGAAGAAATGAAGAGAAGAAAGGAATCAAAACTAGGAATCAAACAGCAACCAGAACTAACGAGGGATAAAGGCTAGAATAAGGAACAATGGAAAAAGGACTGAAATTAACATCTATTAATATTAATGGACTAAATGATTCATCCAAGAGAAAAAGAATATTTTCTAAATTAGAGAAATAGAAATTTGACAAAATATGTCTTCAAGAGGTTCATATCAAATTACAAGATCAGAGATATCTACAAAATAAAAAAATGGGGAAATTGTATACATCATTAGCAGAAGGGAAAAAGAGAGGAGTTGTATTATATATTAAAGAAGAAATAATATCAAAATTGATCTATAATAATACAATGGGGAGAATATTAATTGTAGAGGTGGTTATACAAAATAAAAGTATTTTACTGGTAGGGATATATGCCCCCAACAAAAATCAGAATGAATTTTATAAAACCTTATATGAGAAATGAATAGAATTAGGCAACCCAGAGATTTGCATAATTGGTGATTACAATGCAATTATTAATAATAAACAGGACTATGTGAGTGACCAAAAACACCCCCCCCCCCCAAAAAAAATGGAACATATTGTCCAAAAACTTTTTTGACATGGCTGAAGAATTAGATTTAGTAGACACTTGGAGATAGTTGAAGCCAGGGGTGACTCAATTCAATTTCTACTCCAATCCGCACAAATCTTGGTCCAGATTAGATATGGCATGGGTGAATAGTGATTTATTTAAAGATATACAAGTTATAAAGATACTAACTAATACTTGGGCAGATCACAACCCACTGCAGATAATCTGGAAGGACTGAATCGGTAAAAAAAAGTAGGTGGACACTTAATTCACAACTATTGAAAGAAAAACGGTATAATAAAAAAATTAGGGAAGAATTAGATGGATTTTTTAAATTCAACAAAAAACAGGATACCTCATTGCAAAATCTCTGGGACACAGCGAAGGAATATCTAAGGGGAATATATATAGCCTACATGGCCAATAGAAATAAAGAAAGACAGAAGAAACAAAATACTTTAACAAAAAAATAAATAAGAGATTTGGAAGATAGATTAATGAGAATCCCGGGGGATGAACAAATTAGAAATGATCTGGCACTATCTAAACATGAAATGAATATTTTAGACCAGGAAGATTTAACCAAGAAATTACAATATATAAAACAAAACCATTTCAAGCACGCAAACAAACCCGGTGGATGGTTAGCGTACAAATTGAAAAAAGAAAACCAATAAAGAACTATATACCAATTAAAAGACAATAATGAAACAGTAGAGACTGACTTGGAAAAAAAGAAAATAATTCTAAGAGATTACTTTGAGAATCTATATAATCATGATAGAGTTGATTTAAATAAAATAGAAGAATATTTGAAAGAGAGAGCTTTATACCCACTACCGGAAGATAAGAAGGAGATATTAAATAAGGAAATAACTCTAAGTGAGTTAAAGGAGGTGATCAAAAAACAAAAAAGTAATAAAGCCCCAGGCCCAGATGGCTTCCCACTAGAGCCACTAGAAAACTTGTTACTAGAGATTTGCAATGAGGTATTATTAGAAGCTAAAATTCTGGAATCATAGAAGGAGGCCAATATCACACTAATTCCCAAAGAGGGTGCATAAATGCTAATCAAATAAAAAATTATAGACCAATATCCCTTTTGAATACAGACTATAAAATTTTTATGAGTGTGGTGGCAGAAAGATTGAAGAAAGTTCTTAATGATAGAATTCACTTTGATCAAAATGGACTTTTTTCCCATGTGACAGATTAGATATAATATGAGAACCATAACTGACATATTAGAATTTTTTTTAAAATAAATTTTATTAATTTTTAAAAGCATACAAAACATACAAGATAAACATAAAACCTTTTTTCTAAAAATTTCTAAAAATTATTTGAAAGTTTTACAACATTAACACATTTCCTTACAATCACATATTTTCCCTTTCTAACTTGCTTTATTTTCTTCTATCTTTCTCTCCATTGTCCTTTTCTAACCTTTCTCCAAGGTTTTATTAACTCATTCAAATATAAACACATAAAAACACAAAACATATAAACATAAAAAAAAAACATCTTTTCTGAAAGTTGCTTAATCCCGGGTCAAAACTCTTTGTACAGACACCAACTCAAATTCATATTCATTTTATATGCCATTCCATATCATTATTACCATTTTCAATTTTTTATATAGCTTCTTCTCTCTCTTAGATTCTCTTAATTTTATTTTATTTATCTCATCTCAATTCAAATCATAATATTTA